AGTTCTTTTTTATTTCCTTCTTTATCCATTTCATTGTGATCTTTGAACTTCAACTCAACTGGTGTAACTGACCTAACAGGTTGCAGAAAACCCATTTCTGTACGTCCTTTCAAAGTGATGTCATGTGCACTAGTGTTAATGACATAAATTCCCACCTTGTCGCAATTTTCCCTTTTCAAAGTGAGCAAAGACTCGTGTACTTCCAAACCAGAGGGGAAGCTTAACTCGTTATCGGGCTCAAACAGCATAGGTGTTGGTCGGCTAATTAATCCAACTTTGCTGCGACATGAAATCTTTACTGTACTGCCTTTTGGAACAATAATGCTTTTCTTGCCTGTTCTAACAGTGGAAAATATTGGTGTTGACTTGCTGTCAACAAAACTCACAAAAGCATTTAAATCTGATTGTGACGTCTGAAAGAAACTTGCTGATAGCAGCGAGATAAGGTTAGTCTCATCTGGGACTTGTTTTTGACTTTTGATAAGTTCTTCGATTACATTGTACCCAATAATAGGCTGCTCAAGTTCGAATTCAGTTACTAGCATTGGTACTTCTACTGCATCTACGTTTGAATTCAGAAGCTTGAAATTCATCTTAACCCACCCACTGTATGGCAATTTTGAACCATTGGCTGTTGTTAGTTCTAACTCAATGTCCTGATCAAGGAGATCTGCGATATCTTTTATCTCTGACTGTGGAAAATGTTTTCTAAGCTCTTTTGAACTCACGATTGATACTTGTGCACCCGTGTCAAAAAGTACGGGTAACTCGATACCATTCATACTGCACTTGATCAAACATTTTCTACCCACTAGTTTCGACAGTTTTTCTTGTCCTTGAGGTGAGAGATGGCTAACAAAGACTCTATGATCCTCACTGTCACCTCTTCCATGCTCAACCCTTTCAAACTTATCGGAGAGTTCCTGAATCGCTAGACAAATCTGTTTATGATTAGCCCAGTCTTTTATTTGACATGCCTTACTACAATATTTTGATGTTTCACATGCAGCACAAATAAAAATATTTTTGTGTAGTTGTTTGCAGCTTATACAATGGTGGGACTCTACATCATTTGCCTTGGCTACTGGCTGTCCCGTGACAGCAGCCGGGGGCAGTTTTCCTGCCACGGTCCATTTCTTTGAGGGCAGTTGTAGGCAAAATGAGCACTATTCCCGCATTTCCAGCAATGAGTACACTTATCTCCAAGGCCTTTTTTGAAACATTCCTTGCATCCCCGACGGTTTTCACGAGGGGGTCTTCCTCTCCCTTGAGATAATATTCTATTATCCTCCCCAGGGGACTGAGCACGACTGCGGCTAACATCTTGTTTTAGAGAGGCCACTTCTGCTTTTATCGCTTGGATTTCGGACAGCAATTTTTGAGCTAGTGGTGTTTCCGCTTCTTTGTCCTTTTTGGGGGCTCTCAGCTTTTCCCTTTGTGTTTTGTTCCAAAGAGACTTGTGCAACTTTTGCTTTTCCCTTCTGGCCTATTCCTAATTTGGCATTTCTTTCTGATTCTTCTGCACCAGCGAGGTTTAATTGTTGAATCAATTCAGCATCTGTAACATCTGGGCGTTGTAGGTGTGGTCTCATCCTCGTTCTGAGAGTATTGCTAAGAAGTCCAGTCTCGATTGCATGCAGAAACATGGACTGACACTGACTTGTATCATATTTTAATTTGCTCCCCTCCTGCTTTGTTGCAAAAATTATCTTTTCCCGCAAATTTAGGGCACGTAGTAGAAAATTTTGAGGATCTTCTGTTGGTGACTGGGCCAAATTTGCGAGGCTAGCATATAGTTCACTAGCATTTTTCTCTTGATAGTGGGCGCGAATAATTTTCATTAGAGTTTCCAACCCCATTTCTCGCATCGCCTCTAAATAATCTTTGAGGGGTATTCCCGGCAGAATGCATTTTATGAGCCCGTCAACCAATTCCTTTTCGGAATAACCGCGCTCTTTGCCACTTTCCACTTGTCTACTGAGGCTCAAATAGGACAACTGTTCTTTTTGCCCCTGGGCCCCCACTGTCCCGACAATTCTGAATTCCCTTTTTAGAATTGCTTGCAAGCCCCTGTAATTTGTTTCAGATGTCGCCTGTCCATTCAAATCATTATCTATATGAACGTCGCCCCCTGTTCTCATTTTGACAGCACTCAATTTATCAGTCAACGCTTCCATCTCTTTTTGTTGTTTTTCCTTTAACAGTGTTACTTCCTTCTCTAAATCCTGTCTAACGGAAGCCAGTGTCTGTTGCTTATCTCCCCCGCCCGCAATTGCGCTCCTTACCTCAGTAATTTGTTTCAGAATATCCTTGAGAAATGCTGCCTTTTCTGTTTCTTTGCATTTCTCCGTTAGTTTTTCAATTTCCTCGAAAATCAATTTTACGGTTGCGAAACGGCTTTTGTCCAAATAGGTCGACTCTGAGATTGTCCCTAATTTATCGCAAAATTCATGAAGTGTCTCCTTGCGCATCCCTGTCAGTAGACCATGACATTCCAATAATAAATCATCGATTTCTTCCCCAGTTAGTGCCATTTTGGTACTACTAAAATACACGAAAACAGTCTCGACTATCCGCAATGGCACAACTTTAACGGGCCTAACGTAAACAAACGCAACTGAGAGATCGAGAAAGACACAAGAAAATCAGACTCAAGCCTCGCCAACAAAGCACGAAAATAATCAAAGGGGAAAACAACAAATCTTGATACGATATTGCCAAATAATTGCATCATTTCAACTTCTGTGTTCTTCTGGGTGGCTTCTTCTTGAGAACATCAATTTTGAAAGAAAAAATTGAAAAGATTTGCACTTACAGTTACTTGTCACGTCGTGGTCACCAGAAATGTGGCCCGGTTCGAGTGCAAATCAATTAGCTTCAAGCAACAAACACACAAAACACGACATAGTTTTCCAACGCAAACCTTTATAAAAAACCAAATACTCTTTACAACTCCTTTACTTGATTCGAACAGTCCCTCTCTCTAACTAAACTAAAAAGTCCTCTTCCCGGGGGTAAGTCAGTTCTTGTAATAATGGTTAAAAGGGGGGTCTTCGGAGAGGTCCTCACAAGTTGAACAAATGCTAGATCTTTGTATTAAAATTAAGATACATCGTTGCGATAGTTTTTTGTTTAACTTTTTTTAATGATGATGTAAATAAGGTAAGGTTAGAACAGTACATGAGGTACAATAAAAAGTTAATGATTCTAAAGCTCGTGTTTTAAATACTTGAGCTTTATTTTCTTTAAAAATTCGATGCATTTTTCGTTCAAAAAATTGTTAGTTTTTTCAATAAAAAAGCTTAAAAAAATCATTTTCAATAGCGATGTGCTTGTGTGTCACAAAAACTATGCCTTAGTTAGGTAGTATAGCTACAGTCCACGATGAGACTGATCTAGATTCCACTGTGCGCGGTGGGCTATACCAGGGCCATAGCAACGCCGCTGAGGCCTCAGGATAAACTTGAGATAGGCAAGAGACGTTTTACAATATAGAGCAAATGACAGGCCTTTTCGAAGACATGGCCCAGGGTTCCTAACCCCGGTTACCCCCTTCCAATGTCCCTGACTTTACCTGTTATTCCTTCCATCTGTCATTCCTATTTTTGTTTTGTACTCCTGCTTCATCTGCCCAAAGATGAGTATAGCATTTTTTTATCTGAACTTTTGGGAATAATAAACCGGTGTTTATTCTAGGGCCAAAATTCCGTCGAATGTATGATAACAGCTGTCGCTTTTTCTGCAGTTTTGAAAACCATGCTATCATAACTTAGGACTCCATTGGTAACATTCTCTATAGGCAAGCGGCACTGATTGGTCAACCTCAATAGTCATGTGCTCGCATTTCTGATTGGCCCATTTTGATCCACAACTGGGTATATATATTTCATAGCGTAGAGTTTTCGATCTATGTTCTGACGTTTTAAACTCTGAAGAGTATCAGATTAAAGGTTTAGTTTACTCAAATGTTTGTTTTTTTCAAAGCTATCATAACGCTTTCCCGTTTATTTGAAATGTTTGCATTGGTTGTACTTTTGTTAGATTTGGGATGCTTACTCTACCCCTCTGTCTGCAAGGTCCACCAACCAGTGAATTAGGAGCCATGGGTCTGGGGGAGGCATGTACCCCCCAATCACTTAACTGCCAAATTTGTTGGGGCCCTTTTGTTGCTGAGAAATACCTTTTCTGGAATCTGAAATTTTTTTGCATCAGAAACCTGAAATATGTAGTCATCTGCAGATTTTATTAATATGTGTAATTAATATGTAGTACTTTTAGTCATCCATCTAATGTTTCCTTCTTACTAGCATACTTTAAGCTTCATGTTTATAATTACTTCCACTTTATTTTGACGTTATCTCTTTTTGTCTTATTTTTCATGACCTTCAAGTTGAGTACACCCTCAGCGCACGTCTCCACCCCCACCGCTTTCCCTAGCAATGTTGAAATAGACTACCGGGTAACTGGCTAAAGTACCCCCGTTTTGGGTCAATTTCCCACCAGCTTGCACTGCTTTTAAAAGAAAAGTTTTGCCAATGTTTGTGTTTTAGAGTTATTTCTCAGAAAGTTTAAAACCGCACCTAGTTACGTTGGTATGAACAGCGTCTGATTGGCTCACCAAGCTTTGTTCCTGTTTATTTGACCAAGCTTCGGTAGTTTTCTAATGAATTGTCACCTTGGAAGAAAAACGTATCTTATGGAATGTCGGCAGATTCTCTTAGAAACCTACAGTACAACTCCATCACTAGTTGTACTGGATACCCACTGCGTGACGTCCTACACCGACAAGGCTTAAATTCCCAGTCTTGAAAATGGTTATGAGGGCTTTTTTAAGTCCCCGACATCCAATACAGTGGTTAGTGGTTTTTATTCTTCTTGGCCATGCCAAATCCCCATAAGTCTTGATGGCCATCTCCTTTAATAATGGTCGCATTCATAGTAATATTGCTACCTATGGTGTCATTTTAATCTCAACAACCAAACCGACATCTTATTCCTAGGTACCTTGAAGAAAAGAACTTCGACACTGTAAGGTTGGCACTTGAACGTTCGAAAAAAGTTGTTGTGGCTACATTGGAGATCGTGCCAGAACTCGAGAAACACGAGTTGTACCCGTTGATCGATAAGCTCCCGCGAATAGACATAACAGAGGGTACCGGTTTTGGGGCCAATTACCAAGTTAACAAGCAACAAGCGAAGTCGTTGGTCGAGGCATGTCATGTCAGTTTGTTCGATACTGGGGACCTAGAAGAAATTACTGAGTCGTATTACCCGCACGAGGACGGTAAGTAAAGTCTACATTCTCCAACTTCTGTTATATAGTTTCACCAGACTTATGCCTCATGGTGGGGGTCCTGGCAACCCCTTGTCTCCACCGTCTCTTTCCTTCTTTCTTTATGCTGCTTTCAAGAGCCTTTGTCGCCATGAAACCGAACATTTTGAAATCATTTTACAGGACATTCCTACGACTATAGTTCTGACATCCTATCGTAAATTTTTGCTTGAACATTGATTGGGCTAAAAGTGATTCTACCCTTGGTAATTACAAGTACATCGTCAGGATTTCCCTCTGCGACCGCTTATTCTTCAAAAAGGCCAGTTTTTGTCTTAGACAGGGTTGAGGCTATAATAGATACCATTATATCAATACTCGATGTCAGTCCAAAGGAGCTTTGTCCCAACCAAACGCCACCCCCTCTCCTCCCCCCAGCTGACTGCAAGCGTCAGATACGAACATCCACGATGACTACGCTTAAGTGACAGCTAAAGAAGCTGAAGAAGCAGGACAAGCACCCCCTTACTGCATGCGCGTTAAAATCAGACTTTGTGTTTGGACTTTTGCCAACAAACATCTTGTCCGTAAAAAAGGGGGGAGATAGCTCTTTCATCAGAAGACTCTAATGGTTGTTTTGGCATCAAATATCACGTTTGTCTTCAAAAATGGTAACCCGTGATTTTTTTTACACCTGCCATATTCTCTTCCAGCTCACACAATCTTCCTTGCAATTACGACCGCGTGACTGCGTTGATTTCATTCTTCGTAAATGGTGCTGTGAAATTAGTTAAAGTCAAAATCTATTATCAAACTTGTTCAACTGTGACTAACACGCAGAAAGTAATGCAGAAAATTTCCTGCTCGGCCATTTGCAAAATAAAGTCTCGTTTAATTTTAGTTCTCTGTCGCGCACGCTTTTTTAGACCGACACTATCTTGGTGTCTCCAGCATGATTTAATTGCAAATTCAAGCAAAGTTGCATGCGGTCGGAAGTATGTTTGTCCCTTGTTCTGTGAAAAGCAAACCCACCTGTTCTCTTCCACCACTATTTCTATAAATATTCTGCATTTCTTTATCTTCTCTATCAAAAAAGTCAGTTTTTCTCTGCGTATAAATCATTTTTGCAAGTGTTAATGAATTCATCTCGGAATGTGCTTGTTGATATAAACGAGCAGTTCCATCGCAATGCCCTTATCTCGAAGCAGACCTGTATGCTAAACGTTAGTCTTGAACAGCTCTTCATCGTTCACTGATGATTCCTCTTGAAGCGGTTTCCTAGGGAACAGCCTTTATACGGGCAGAGGTGTTTCTCATATTACAAGACAATATTAACAGACATATCACAATGCTAGACGAAAGATGAAGGCAATCGTTTTTTCGAAGTGCTTTTTTGTTATTTCATATACATATTGGTATAAAATTAAAAGTTTCAAAAACAGAAGAATTTATCGGTCTCTATAGCAAATTAAGTGACAATGAATATGTTGGGTCCCTTCCTTCACATTGTAGCCCATGATCATGGCCCAGGCCGTCTTTTCTCAGAATATCACTTCTTTATCTCTTATAATTCCCCCTCGACCTAAGGATGAAAACGAATGATTTCTAAATTTGCTTTTGGCCTTGAAGATTTGCAAGAAACTTGAAGGTGATGTTATTTACCCAATGCAGACTTTGCGGTTTTAGACATCTTTATTTTACAGTTGCATTATTATGGTAAAGAATTAACGATTAGATCCTCACCACTAAGATATTCATCAATTTTTCATCTATATCTAAACTCTTTCAGACATCGTAAACAACCCAAAAGTTTTGCTCTTATTATTATGTGAAATTATTTACAAATGAGACAGCTAGCTCTCTGTCTTAACAGCAAATTATATAGTTTCCTTCTTTTTGAGTCACCGAAAAATTTTGTTGGTCCCTTCCATCACATTATGTCACAGGATCACCACCCTTGTTTTTCTCAGAATGGCACTTCTCTGTCATTCAAGTTATACTCTTTTTATAAGAACCAGTAAATTTAAGTTCGGGCTGTCTGTTCTTAATTTTTTCGAAAGTTTAAGACTGCATTGTTCTTAATTCGTTCTCAAATCATTCAGGGTGTAAGCAGTGCAATTGCTAGCTATTGCACTCTAAGGAGGTGTTCAGGCCTCGATTGCCAACAAAATGAGTGAAACATTCTTTATTTACTGACAGGTTTACTGTAAAAACACCCTTAGATGACAAAAAACTCATCGTTCTTGAGATGAAACTTTTTTGAGGGGGTTACACAACTTTGTTCAAAATTTTACTTTACAGAACCTCAGCCATATCTTGTTCTTAATGTATTCTTCATTTTTGACAAAGTCATTCTTCTACCAAAAGAGTGGGTGAGAAGAAATGATTGAATAATGATAACTAAATTAGTCCAAGTCTGTGAAGACTTGTTTTGATATCTGAAACTTACATTATTTTTGTCCCATAAAGACTTTGTGGTGAAAACGATCTCTCCTTTTCAGTTACATTATTATGGTAAAGAATTAACGATTAGATCCTCACGACTAAGAGATTCATCAATTTTTCACCTTCATTAAAATTTTTTTCAGACGTTGTAAACAACCTGAAATATACTTTCCTCTAATCATGGGATTAAGAAGAACTGAAATATTGGTTCTGACTGTATATATATTTGGCACAAAAAGCCAGTTTTGGAGACGTGTTTTTAAACCTTTCAAAACCATAAGTTGAGAAAATGTCTGTCTTAGGAAATGTCGTAAGAGAAAACTCGCAGAGGGAAGTTACAATTTAGATTTCGGGAAAATTACTTTGGTCATTCTTAAGACTAACCGACTTCGAATCAAAATTTGTAGATCTTGTTTAGTTTTATTTTTAATAACTGATTCAATTTGTCTGAAAGGAATATGTTATAATTCTTTATCAAATTTTGTAGACTGGTGCTCCTCCCTAGCTAACCATGCAATGTCATCAGTGGGTAGAAACCTCACTTTTGCGTGGAACATAACTAGAAAACTTTGAGTTTGCAGCGGAGAAGGAGACCGAGATTTGAACAATTTGTCGTTTGCTTGAATAAAACAGACGATTAATGTTCTGTAAGGTATATTTTACCACTATCTTTAATTAGTTTTCGCCTTCACAGTAAAGCAGTATGAAATTTCTCTTGAGGGCAAGGGCATGAAACCACGCACTCGCTGCTTCAGTCCCACTCTTCTTTTCTCCGTTTTCAAGAACTGCTACTCAGCTCTTTTAGGAGTACCCCGTTAACATTTGTGAAAAAATCATTTTTTTCGGTATGAAAACCAACAAAAACGAAAGCCAAATATTCAAGAGACTTCTTATGACACCAAGGGGAGAAAAGATCATGGCAACCCCAAGGCATTACACGAGGAACATTCAGCTAAACTACACAAAAATATTAAACTACATGAGAGCTACTGACCAAGAAAGGTGCCTGTTTCACATTGGTTATCAGGCAAGCATTGGAGACAGTGTAAGGCAAGAGAAACCCAACCAAGGGAACAGAAAGCCATTGCCATGTCCAGAGTCCTCGCAATCCAGGAAACGGCGCTAGTGCTATTAAAATGGGTTTTCTTTAACCATATTTTTCACATCTTTAATCACAAAAATCACAAGCATATTAAGAATAGTAGCGAGTACTGCCGTCTGATAAAGTTAATCAAATGGCATCAGGATAACATGTTGTGGAACTTCTTTGAAAAAAATGAACTCCGCTTGAAAAAATTTAAATTTACATTTAGCCGTTTTTAATTTGAAATGCTTTACGTTGAACCCGTAAAAGTCGAAGCCTAGTCATGCAGTGTTGTATTAAAGGGAAGACAGAAAATCAGTTATCATAATGCAAGTGCTTGACTTTAGAGAGTAAATTGGGGCTGTGGAAGATATTTGCCAGAGATTTCTGTATTCTCGTTCATTTTCTCCTGACACGTTGGTTAATGTTTGATAAAAAAATTGGAAAATACAGTTAAACTTGCTTTACAAAGAGGTATACAAAGTTCCAGCCATATAACATTCTTCAGAAACATTTGCTCTTTCACGTGAGCAATGCACGTGTAGATTTGACACTCGTACGACTTTTGAAACGTCCACCAAACTCTTTGTTACAATTAAAGATCCTCAGTTGTTTCGATGTCTCTTGTTTTTCATTGTCAGTATGCAGTATGTTGAGCTGTTGTGAGAACCTCGCTTTGACTTGCTTGAAAAGCCTCGTTGGGTGAAATGGTTGTTGTTGTTGTCATTGTCGTTCTTGTTGTATATTGCACGTGCAATGCCGCGAATTTGTTGCATTGAATTGCAACTTTCCAATTAAGACAATATTTTTATCTTGAACATCAATAGCCAAAGGATTAACGTATCAGTTATGTTTCTTAAATTCAAAGAAAGGAAGCAGTTTTCTGTTTCCCTTCTTTTCTTGTTTTAAGGGCACCATGCTTCAAGATTCACATGCAATATTAAGCAGTTCTGTTGTCAAGGCTACAGTACATCATAAGCATTTGTGCTGACCTGTTACTTAAACGAGGCTGTTGCTATGATTCCGCCAGAGTTGTCCCTTAGAGAGACATTAAACTATTCATTAGCGCCAATGGCAAAAGTTTTGTTCCATTTGAAGCATTACAAGTGCTAATTGCTTAGACTGGTGATTGCTTTTGTTGAAACGAAGCTTAACAATTCTCAATTTCATAAATTTAACAATTTATGTTAATTGCCATGAGGAAGCACACGCGTGAACCGATTGACTTTTAAAAGCATCTTTCAACTCTAGATGTTTTGTTGCAAACAAGCTCGCGCTCCAGCGCTCAGCTGTTGGTTCCACTCCGAGGCTGTAATATTATGATGTTCCTTAGCAACCGAGGAGTCAAGTGCTCATTGAAAAATATAATTGCTCTTGCGCTAACCTGCTGAAGATTAATCATTCAGTATTGTCCAACAAGGAAGGCAGGATATCCTCGTTTCTTAGTCGAGATGTTGCTTTCTGTCTTAGTTTTATTTTGATG